GGGGGGTGTGGGAAGAGACTGGACAAAAATCGTACACCTATAGATGAGGACAGTGGAGGGGGGAGTAAGGGCAGAGGGTGGGGTGGGAACTGGGTGGAGGGGAGCTATGGGGTGGAAAAAGCAACAACTGTAATAATCTGAACAATTATTTAATAAAAAATAAATAAATAAGTATAGTGTAATAAATACATCAGTTGGTAACATAGTCGTTTGTTTTCATTATCAAGTACTATGTACTGTACATAGTCATATGTGCTGTACTTTTATACACCTGGAAAAGCAGTAGGTTTGTTTACACCAGCATTGCCACAAACGTAAATAAATTATGTCACGCCGTCACTATGTGATAGGAATTTTTTAGCTTCCTTATCATGTAGATCACCATCGAACAAGCGGTCCATTGATTATTTTTAGAGAGAGTGGGAGGGTGGGGGAGAGACACAGAGAAGGGAAACATTGATGTGAAAGAGACATATCGATTGGTTGCCACCTGGGCCCGGGGAGTGAGCCTGCAACCGAGGCTCGTGACCTGGACGGAATCGAACCTGGGACCCTTTAGTCCACGGGCCATGCTCTAACCACTAAGTCTAACCAGCGAGGGCTAGCACTGAACTATTAAGTATTAAGAGTTTTTAGCCTCCCACATTTGTCTTTTTCTTTTAATTTTAAAACTGAAATCTTAAACTTGCTTTTGATCAACAATCAAATTCTGAAAATAAGGGGAAATACAACCCGAAAAGGTCAAAACTTAGAATTCAGTGATTCAAAATAGTATTTCTGCTTCCTGGGGGCTGAACTCTAAGTACAATGGAACAGAATTCAGAACCCCAGGGCGGAGCCGGGGTGCAGAGCGGTGATGTCACAGCCCGCGGCGCGGAAGTTGGAGCTGGACCATGGCTGGGCCTCTAAAGTGAGCTCTCCAGTCTCGGACCGCACTCCGCACAGGATGAGGCGATAGCTCCCTTCCTCTCCAGTGGCAGGCTCGACGCTTTCGCGGCCTTTGACTGAGTAAGGTCCAGTGTGGTACCCAGTGACGGGTTTGACACAATAACCTGCTTCCGAAGGTCTTTACGTAATTTTTTTCTAGTTGGCCTTCCTCCCTACCTGAGGGTGTGTTCCAAGGATGCTTGGTGGTCATGTTGTTGTTTTAAACGTGTTTTATTGATTTCTGAGAAGAAGGGAGAGGGAGAGAGAGAAACATCAATGATGAGAGAATCATCAATCGGCTGCCCCCTACGGGAATTGAGAACCTCCTCACGCCCGCCTGGCCCCTGCTCACATTTTCTCTGTATCACCCTCTTGCTAGTACCACGTCACACGTGTGTGCTACTAACACACAGCTTATTCTCGTGTGCTTTTGTGTAAGTTATATTGTGGTCTATGTTGCCGTCTGCAAATTGTTTTTTTTTGTTTGTTTGTTTGTTTTTCAGCGTCATATTGTTTATTCTTTCTTCCTGGGCCATGGTTCTCATTTCAATGTTAAATTACACAAATTGCTTATTCCAACCAAATTGAATTTCCTGGGAAGATTTGGGAGGAAAAATGGCAGAAAGGCCCATGGTCTCCTAGTGACAGGATGGTCTAGTGACGGGCTCCTAGAGTCTCTGTAAACCAGGAGGTGGCATGACAGTTGTCAGAGGACAGTTAAAGGCCTTTCTTCCTGAAAACAGCACTGCAAGTGGGTTTGCTCATGCTCAGTGTTGTCAAGCATGGCGTTCGGGAAAGAGCCGTTCCCTTAGTTCTGTGCTTGGAATAGTTTTAAGTTTGATGAGCAGCAAGGGGCAGTCCTGACTCCATCAGCGAGTCGAGTTCACGAGACCCAGGTGGTGGGAGTGAAACCATTTGCTCACATGCGGCCTGTTTGTTACTCACCACTAGCTGCACGTTACTGCCTGCGAGAGGAAGAACGTCCTTCCCACCATCTGTCCTGTTTCCTTCTCTCTCTCTTTCCATTTCAGTCCCTTTTCATCCACGAATAAAACCTCGACCCCCACGTGGCCGGGTCGGCCGAGGCCCTGGGCCCCCCTGGGAGACCGTCGTGTTTTACAGGCATAGGCCTGCGGGTGGGGGTTCATGCTTCCTTTGCGGGAGCAGCACACTGAGGCTGAGCCGGGCTGTGGGCAGGGGAGCCAGTCACCGCCCTGCACTCCCTGTCCAGGTGCCGGGAAGATGTTTGACATCAGGATCATGACGGCCATCGGGGTCGCCTTGCTGATCGCCATAGTCCTGCTGATGTTCTGTGTCACCAGCCTTCTATTCAAACTGACCAGCATATTGAAGTAAGTGACGTGGTAAGAGTGGCCACTCCCTGGGCTGAGCTGGAGCAGGGCACGCCCTGCCCTGGGCCGCCCCCCGGGGTCAGGAACAGGGCAGCTGGGAAAAGGCAGAGGCAGGTGAGCATGGAATCCCGGCCCTTCCCCTCGGGGCTGGGCTGTGAGCTCACAGTGAGGTTCCCAGCAGGCAGGCGGCTCTGGGTCAGCGCTGTCCGCTGCCTGGGCCTCGGGGAGCTGCCCCTCCGCGGGGACACACACCCTGGCTGGCCCTGCTTGTGTCCCGGGCGCTGCAGACTGAGGACCGTGGGGCAGGCACGTGGGAGCCTCTGCCTCGGTTCGCCCAGAGGACGGGCTCGGTCAGTCTCCCCAGCCCGAGCTCGGAGCTCCCGGGGTTCCCTCCTCCATCGCCCGTGGCCTTGGGGACAGGGAGGTGCCTGTAGGCGTGGGGAGCTGAGCTGGTGAAGATCCGGGGACACCAGAGAAGGAGGGGAGCTCAGGCAGGTCATTCAGTTGGGGGGAGAGGACCCTTCCAATGTGGGAGGTTTGCTGGCAGAAGCCGTGGAGCTCCTGCTCTAGGGAGGGAGGCTGTGCACCAGGTCAATCCAGACCCCGGGGCAGCTGGTGGGCGCCTGCCCCCCACCCGGGCTCCGCAGTTGGGGCCTCAGCCACTGGGGGAGCAGCGCTGGCAGCTCCTCTCCCTTCGTGCTGGGTCTGGCCTGGCATCTCTGGCGTCTTGGAGAGCACGTGACCTGGAGCCTGGCCAGGGCAGAGCTTTCCTCTAGGGCTGGGCCGCCCCAGACCCCCGGCACCCTGACCGCGGGCACAGGCGGGCTGAGAGGGGGTTCTAATCCCTCCTGTGTGTTTCTTTTCTTAAGAGCTCCAAAGCTACCGGTGTGTTTGGTCCTAAAAAGTTTCCCGTCCATGGTCACCAGGGACAAGATCGCCGCAGCCTCATCCATCACCGCCAGCTGCTACCCTGGCCTCCAGCTCTACGACGAGTGTCAGCTGTGCGCTGACTCCAAGTCCCTGCCGCCCGGCTTCTGTGACGTGAGCGAGGGGCTCTGACCGGCGGGCATGGCGCCTGCAGGAGTGACCTTTCTTAGCAGAATGTTTTATTCGAGTCGTTTTATAGTGTTCCCACTGTGTTATGTGCTACAGGACATTCGTGTGCTTTTGAATAAATGCAGAATTGAAAATACCCACTCCGCCTCCGGGATGTTTGGTGTCGTTAGTGAGCCATGTACTGGAATTGGGCATCACCCACTTTGGGACGTGCAGCATAGGCGGGCGGGAGTAGGAACTAAAAAGGCACGTCGGCGATTTGACAGGAGGCAGCATCGTGCCAGGCGCTGGGGATGAAAACTGTTCTTATCCCGGCCGCCTCGGGGAAGGGGACGCCGTCTCCGGAAGAGACACGTGTCCTGGCGGGAAGCCCTCTGAGACCCGGAACCGGTCCTTCCATCTGCACTCTACGAGGATCAGGATGGACCCCCAGCCGTGGCCTGTGCTGACTGGAGGGCCCGCCGTCCATCCAGGCGTCCATCTCCTCCCGGCCTGGAGCCTGACTTGGGCTCCGAAGGGACAAGGTTTCCGGGGGGACCCTCCCCTGGTAGCACTGGCTCCTCACGGCAGAGGCCAGGGCACAGCAGGGCCAGGTCAGCAGGAGCGGAAGGAGGAGGGGAGAGTCCTGGGCGCAGGGCAGGGGAGCTGTGGACGAGGCAGAGATGAAACCTGGGCCAGGTAAGGGGCTCCCGGGCTTATACCCCGGGCCTGGGACCCAGCTGCTCGCTGCCACCCGAGATGTGGTACCAGAGCCCTAATGTGCAGACTGCACAGCCCATGCAGCGAAGCCATTAACGCATTCCATTCACATTGGCAAACACTACCTGTGAGACCATTGGGATACTGCTTCCCAATCACATCTCCTGTCAGACACACGCAGAAGAACCTAGCATTGGTTTTTCAACCACCTGCATCTCTGTTCATCCGTGGTCCTCGCTCTGAGGGTAGTGATGTGGCTACAACCTTGGGGGGCGTTTTCTAAACCAATGAAGAGACTACACAGCAGAAGCTATAAAACTTGACTGACGGCTCAACTTGAGGCGAGACGGAACCCTTGAGAACGACAAGGAAATCCCCGGAGCTGCGCGCCGTGAACGCCCATGGGCGAGGGAAGGCTGGGCAGGTGGCTGCCGTGTGCCCTCCCGTGTCGCCTGTACAGGATCCGGAAATGGAGCAGATTCCTCCACAAGCAGAGATCCAAGGACAATAAAGCACTTGTATTCCCTCACGTGGTTTCCAAAATGGACGCGTTTATTTTTAGATGCAAATACATCCCCTTCAGCACATGCAATCGTTACACTTCCTGACGACGAAGCCGGCAGCGAGCACGGCCATCTCCTCGCCCACGCCGCCCTCAGGGCGCGCCCTGCGCTCACACCCAGCACAGGCGCTGGGGACGGGCATCAGCGCGGCAAAGGGTCCCGTGCTTTCCGGTGGATGGAGATAAAACAAGGTAACCGCCCTCACGTCCCATCCAACACAAATCTCCAGCAACGAACCTCCACGGAGGGGACGCAGACCTTCCTCCCGTCACTGCGACACAGGAAGCCAGCGCCACCGCCCCGGGCAGCACAGAGGGCCGACCTGCGCCTGTTCTCAGGGAGCAGCGCCAGTGCAAGTCCGTGAGCCCAGAGGTTCCGACTTACAGATAACCAAAGAGAAAAACAACTATCAAATCCTCAGTGCACTATTTCTCTCCCTCCTAAGATGAGGAAATAAGGTCTTTCATAGATAAAAAATACACTTCTATCAAACACACCGCATGGGAGAGCCTTAAAAATTTTAAACACTTAAAACAACATCAAGGGACACAAATCTCTGTAAGAGTGAATAACTCTGCAAACAAAAATAACTCCTGACCCGATCACGCTCACACTCGGGCACGGGGTCACGTCACAAGCACAAGGAAGGTCATCCACGCTCAGGTGTGGCACGGGGTCACGTCACAAGCACAAGGAAGGTCATCCACGCTCAGGTGTGGCACGAAGTCACATCACAAGCACAGGGAAGGTCACCCACTCTCATGCAGCCCGGGGGTCACGTCACGGGGGTCACGCCACAAGCACAGGGATGAACGCTGAGGTCACTTGATGCGAGTAGGATGCTGATCCTCCAATGACATCGACACTGGCTCGGAGCTTTGGGTCGCGTTGTAATAAATAGGTAATAAATATCTGCATGCACGGCGCACGGGAGCGCCTATCTCTCTCCGTTGGAGAGTCTGTCCCCAGAGTCATAGCGCGTGAGCGGCATCCCCGGGGGCGGGGGCGGGGAGCCGGGGCTCTGCAGCAGGTGTGTCTGCAGCAGGTGGGCCAGCAGCGCCACCTTGCCATCCACGTGCTCCTGCAGGGCGCGCAGCCGCTCGTCCAGGTAGTCCGTCAGCCTCCTCTCCATCAGCTCCAGGTTCTTGGACAGAATCTTTTCCAAGTAGGAGCAGGCGGGCGGCTCTCCCATCCTAAAGGGAATTAAAGACCAAACATGACCCTGACCTCCAACGGCAACAAAAGCCACCAGACAACCAGCAGCAACACACAGCCTGCTGCTTCCCATGCAGCCCCTCACCCGCTCTGAGTCCGCAGGCAAAGACTTACCCGCCACCAAGGCCGCCTTCGCCCGCACACGTCCTGGAGGAGGGGCAGCAGCTCGGGGGCAGGGGCCGCGGGGCTGTCACTCGGCCTCTTTGGTAAGGAAGACACCGCGGCGAGCTGAAGGTCCCTCGCGGGGAGAGGATGGCTCTGGGGCGCAATGTCCCACTCTCCGAGGGGTGCGGGGTTCCCTCCCCCGGGGGGCCGTACGTTCTCATCCCCGGGAGCTGTCACGTCTTCTGTCCCGCGTCCCGAAGTCAGCCCGGCTCTGGGAGGCACAGGTGCGCAGGTCGGCCTGTCACAGGTTCCCGAGGGCACCGAGGCCCACAGGCCCAGCACTCGCCTGGAGGCAGCGCTCCCCAGAACCGCCTGCAGCTGCTCCCCCAGGGGAATGCAGCGCTGAGGGAACAGGGAATAGGGCTGTGAACAGCAATGACCTGAGAAAGTTTGCGGTATTTAGAATCAGGCCCCGGGCATTCTCCATTGGGTCCCTGACACAGCCCTATGCAGGCAGCCACCATGACTGCCACCAGCAGCTGAGGGGACCAGGTTCAAGGTCACCTGGCCAAGGCCGCACAGCTGGTGAGTGGGAACCAGGACGCGACCCGGTGGCCCCATTCCAGTCTGGGCTTGTCATCACTTGACTGTGGTTTTTCCTAAGAAAATGCTACAACAAATACCAGCACACTTAGTACAACAGCACTGGCATAGTTAACAGTTCCTTCCTGACTCATGGAAGTAAATGTGGGCTCCCCAGAGTCACAGGAAGGGGTAGTGTCCACAGAATTAAGTATCACCTGTCACGGCCCACGTGGTCGCCAACCTGAGGATGTCCCAGGACCCACAGGCATGGAGACGCATGGCTGGTGACACACTTCCCGCTTATGTGGTGGGAAATCTGTGACGCCTGCAACGACTAGACATGTTCCATGACGAACACGAGCTCCCTTTGAGCTCTGTCTGTCTCAGTCGTTTGTAGGCTAATAGATTATGTTTTGGGTCCTCAACTCAACTGCATATATTTTCTCCCAGCAAACGGGGCCCGTCCCTCAGTCAGTGACATGAAATGACAACTATACGCAGGCACTTCGATACAGATTCCCACCCCATCATTCCACATCGCTAACGCAAGCACAAAGCCTGCAGTTCTGAACTTCAAACGCAAGAGATAAATTAGTAAACTTACAAAAACAAGTAACCGCAGGCACCAGCAAAGCAGGGAGCAGCTAGGACCTCACAGCCCAGGGCCCTCAGGACTGGCCGGGCCCATGTTCACCCCAGAAGGTCCTGAACAGCCTGCTCACACCACCACAGAGCAGGAGTCCTGCTCATGGAACATCCTAGTTTACATGCAGTGAGGGGTGACCCGGCTCACAGGGCATTTTCCAGGAGACATTCCGTAGCTGCTGTGCTAATACTGAGCACTCCCAGAGAACCAGGCCTGTCCTGCAGGAATCGCTCCGTGTGTGTGTGTGTGTGTGTGTGTGTGTGTGTGGTGATGGCTCTCCTACTCTGGGTCTCTGTGTGTGTGTGTGTGTGTGTGTGTGTGTGTGTGTGTGGTGATGGCTCTCCTACTCTGGGTCTCTGTGTGTGTGTGTGTGTGTGTGTGTGTGTGTGTGTGTGGTGATGGCTCTCCTACTCTGGGTCTCTGTGTGTGTGTGTGTGTGTGTGTGTGTGTGTGTGTGTGGTGATGGCTCTCCTACTCTGGGTCTCTGTGTGTGTGTGTGTGTGTGTGTGTGTGTGTGTGTGTGGTGATGGCTCTCCTACTCTGGGTCTCTGTGTGTGTGTGTGTGTGTGTGTGTGTGTGTGTGTGTGGTGATGGCTCTCCTACTCTGGGTCTCTGTGTGTGTGTGTGTGTGTGTGTGTGTGTGTGTGTGTGGTGATGGCTCTCCTACTCTGGGTCTCTGTGTGTGTGTGTGTGTGTGTGTGTGTGTGTGTGTGTGGTGATGGCTCTCCTACTCTGGGTCTCTGTGTGTGTGTGTGTGTGTGTGTGTGTGTGTGTGTGTGGTGATGGCTCTCCTACTCTGGGTCTCTGTGTGTGTGTGTGTGTGTGTGTGTGTGTGTGTGTGTGGTGATGGCTCTCCTACTCTGGGTCTCTGTGTGTGTGTGTGTGTGTGTGTGTGTGTGTGTGTGTGGTGATGGCTCTCCTACTCTGGGTCTCTGTGTGTGTGTGTGTGTGTGTGTGTGTGTGTGTGTGTGGTGATGGCTCTCCTACTCTGGGTCTCTGTGTGTGTGTGTGTGTGTGTGTGTGTGTGTGTGTGTGGTGATGGCTCTCCTACTCTGGGTCTCTGTGTGTGTGTGTGTGTGTGTGTGTGTGTGTGTGTGTGGTGATGGCTCTCCTACTCTGGGTCTCTGTGTGTGTGTGTGTGTGTGTGTGTGTGTGTGTGTGTGGGCAGATGCCAAACCTGAGTCAGGAGCAAATCGATTTCATGTGGTTGCTGCGATGAGATCAGTGTTTCACATGGTTGCTATGACAACGATGAGTGTTAAAATTTCCAGTGTCTACCATTGAGAAAGTGCTCAGAAACATGCATCCCTACTATTTTTATTTTAACTTTAATATACGATTGGCCCAGATGAAGCCCCATACAAACCAAAGATTTCCCTGAATGAAACACCCTTTGCACTGCACGTCCCTCCACAGAAGTCACAGAAACACCCACCTTCCGAGACACACACACCCAGGGATCACACAGACCACAGCTGAAGACAGATTCCGGATCCAACACCTCAGCGGCACCAACAACGTCACTGTCATCAACCAGTAAGCCAACACCTCCCTACACTCCCACACCCACATTCCAACCTCCACAGGATCCCTCTCCTGCTCCTTAATCCCTAAGACTTTCTCACTATGAAACGGAACCTATTTTGCACATTGAACCTACTATGTCTGGTCTGCTGTAATATTAACACGAGGGCTTTGTTCCAACTTATTTGATGATGCTAGCTCCTAAGTGCCTAATACAGTATGTGGCATCAATGGACACTCAACACTTCTTCAATGAGTGCATCACCTTATTTAAAGGACTTTAGAAGCCATGAACATGAATATGCCTCTAACACATCCTGGAACAACCAATCCTGTCATGTGTAAGTAACAGCAAGCACAGGACTTCAGGGATGGAAACCACCCAAGGGTTTCTTTCCTTCGGCCCCCAGCACTGCCCACTAGGCTGGGGCTAAGCGGTGGGACATCAGCGACCAGCCCACAGGACAGGCGGGGCCAGGGTTCCTGCTCGCTGCCCCGCCCCCAGGCTGACCACCTCACCCAACTTCACTGCGACACTGTTTCATGCTGAAGCCCTGGCCTGGCCTGATCTCTTTAACTTCCTGGTGCCCTGGTCTGAAACTCCTCTACCTGGGTTTTTTCTTGGTATTTTGGTCCCAACTCTGCTTGTGGTTTTCTTGGCACCTACGTTTTATACCAAAATAAACCTGATTTTTAACTGAGTTTTCCAAAGCTGAAGAGCACAACAGCATTAACTGTATTAACACTATACATGACATGGCGTTGCCATAGCTAACAAATGGTCCAATTTGAAAGGGAGAGCATTGAGGATTACTAAGCCAACATAAAATAAATGTGCACAGTACAAAAACAACTGCAATTTTCAACTTAGTTCCAACTTAGTAATGACTTACCTTTATTTTACAAGCTTGTGCAGCGGACTGCAATTTTAGACATTTTTTGTACAAAATAATCTTTTCATGTTCACTAAAAATAAAAAATAAAAATTGACTATTTTCACACATTATCACTTTTAAAACTGATAAATTATTTTAAATGTTTAAAATTTATTTCAGAGAGAGGAAGGGAATAGAGATAGAAACATCAATGATGAGAGAGAATCACTGATCGACTGCCTCCCGATTGCCTTCTACTGGGGATGGAGCCTGCAACTCAGGCATGTGCTGTGACCAGGAATCCAACCGAGACCTCCCAGCTTATGGGTGGACCGATGCTCAACCACTAGCCACACCGGCCCGGCACATTATCGCCTTTAATGGTCACATTTGAAAATAAGGGTTTCCAGGCCAATGCTTGTCCTGAAGTTGTTTTCCCGGTGAGGTGGGAGGGGTGGTGGCTTCCTAGGAAAATGCAGGGAGGACAGACTACACCTGCCACTTAGCAGCTTGTGAAAGAATCGAATTTGATAACAAATGTGTCATCTTGTAGCACAAGCATATTTTAAAGCTGAATAAACACATCTACTACTTCCAACCTGCATGGTACATAAAACAGTTCCTATTTTGAGTGACATAAAAGAGAGGTTAGGACATGTTCTTTGCAAAAAATCAGAAAAAAATCAGAAAGCATAGCCGCAGGTTAAGTATGCTGGTTGGCAGTGCTGGGCTGCCCACTGTTTGGAAAGGCCTTCCTTCAAGGAGATATGTTCAAAGTCCAGGCTGATGGACAGATTACCGTTTGGAAAACAGACCCTGTGAGTTACACAGAGAAGCCTCTCCCAGGCACTGGCTGGGACCCTGGCCAGCTCAGCTCCCGTCCACCAGCTGTCAGTTTTTTAGACATTTTTTGTACAAAATAATCTTTTCATGTTCACTAAAAATAAAAAATAAAAATTGACTCTTTATTTTCACACATTATCACTTTTTAAAATTGATGTTATTTTAAATGTTTAAAATTTATTTCAGAGAGAGGAAGGGAGTAGAGATAGAAACATCAATGATGAGAGAGAATCACTGATCGACTGCCTCCCCATTGCCCTCTACTGGGGATGGAGCCTGCAACTCAGGCATGTGCTGTGACCAGGAATCCAACCGAGACCTCCCAGCTTATGGGTGGACCGATGCTCAACCACTAGCCACACCGGCCCGGCACATTATCGCCTTTAATGGTCACATTTGAAAATAAGGGTTTCCAGGCCAATGCTTGTCCTGAAGTTGTTTTCCCGGTGAGGTGGGAGGGGTGGTGGCTTCCTAGGAAAATGCAGGGAGGACAGACTACACCTGCCACTTAGCAGCTTGTGAAAGAATCGAATTTGATAACAAATGTGTCATCTTGTAGCACAAGCATATTTTAAAGCTGAATAAACACATCTACTACTTCCAACCTGCATGGTACATAAAACAGTTCCTATTTTGAGTGACATAAAAGAGAGGTTAGGACATGTTCTTTGCAAAAAATCAGAAAAAAATCAGAAAGCATAGCCGCAGGTTAAGTATGCTGGTTGGCAGTGCTGGGCTGCCCACTGTTTGGAAAGGCCTTCCTTCAAGGAGATATGTTCAAAGTCCAGGCTGAAGGACAGATTACCGTTTGGAAAACGGACCCTGTGAGTTACACAGAGAAGCCTCTCCCAGGCACCGGCTGGGGCCCTGGCCAGCTCAGCTCCCGTCCACCAGCTGTCAGTTTCCAGCTGGGAACACACCAGGGTGACCCCGACTGTCCTGGGATCCTCCCCCGAGGCCTGAACGCCCACGGCTGCTGGTGTTTCTCGCTCCTCCCCCTAGTGTCTGAGGTCAGTGTCAGAGAAGCAGGAGGTCCCAGAGCTGGGACACAGAAACCCTCCCTGAGAAGAAGCTGCACACGGGGAGTCACAAACCTGGTATCCAGCACATTACCAACACTCCTGCCCCTACTGGTGCCACAGTACTCCTCTCCTAAGTACACTTCCATATTTCTTGCTGAACTTAAAATGCCAACAGAAACGATTCCTTCACCTCCACTGGGGTCACAGCTCAGGGAGAGAAAGCAGGGCTTTTCATCTGGGCTCTTCTGGCTCCTTCTCAGAATCACCAGGTCGCAGCTGCAGAGAAAGTGACAAATATCAGTGTCGCCTCTGCACACGCCGCCACACCACCGATAGGCCCCGGGGCTGGCATTTCATTCACTTCCGTTTGCCTTTGGGGTTCACACACCTTCCAACAGCCCACAGCTGAGCACAGACTACTCACAGAGAAATGGCCGCTTCAGCCCGGCCTGTGCCCTGGGCGGGCAGAGCATCAGCGCGGGACTGGAGGGTCGCGGGTCCAGGGCATGGACCTTGGTTGCAGGTTCCCAGGCCCAGGTCGGGTGGGCACAGGAGGCAGCCAATCCGCGAGTTTCTCTTTGTCTCTCCCCGCCCCCGCTTCTCTCTCTAACAAAACAAAACACAAAACACTGGGGAAATGTCCCTGTGAGGAATGGTGTTGGGACGTCGGGTCCCCTGCTTCCCCTGATCACGGGCATCTTGCTCGGCCCCCGGAATGGCTTCCTTTTAATGTGGCGCTCAGGGCACCTGCCTGTGCACAGGGGCAGGAGCAGAGCGGACAGAGGACAGTCTGTTTCCAAATGGGGGGGCGACCCCTGGGGGGGGACACTTCCCGTCTCCTGGGCCCCAGGAGGGTCTGCTCGTTGGGGGACAGAGGCGGGTGCGGGTGGACGGGGCCGCCCCGCCC